AGCTGTTGTGATCTGTTGTGTGCACTACCCCTTACGTCAGTGCACCAGTCTGTTTTTAATGTTTGCATTTTCTGCATCCTGTTTCTCTCTCTCTCTCTCTCTCTCTCTTGTTGGAAAGATAACAGAGACACCTGCGCCTGCTCTATGTACATTTATTTCTACATCACGTTAATACAAAGCTGATGGGAATGTGAGAAGTCTCCAGATATGCGAGAGGAACACAACTCCTGGACAAAAACCTAAAATCAATATATGAATAAGTTCATGTGTCTTCATTTGGTCATTCCACATACCATATGTACATTACTTTGAATAAATTGGTTAAGAAGACAAAGTGCTATATATAAACTTTAATCTTTTTGTTTAATTTTTTAACAATGATTATGTTTTCTGATTGCTTTCCAGTTGATTTGATACAAAACTGTCATTTGCTTTCATTGGTGTTCCAGCGTTCTTTTCACGTTAGCCTCCCAAAGTTACGCAACATGTAGCATTCCTGAAAAAGACAGCAACGTGTCATTCCGGCCAGCATATTTTCCCTTGAATCACACTTTTTTTTCTTTATTTGAATGCTATTAAAACAGGTTCAAGTGTTAACCCTGATTGTTAGTTACTGAATCAGCATGCCTACATATTGGCTGTATGTGGTCAGATCAGCTAGTATTAAAGTTAAGTTAGGTAAACACCCATAATCTAAGCACTGTGACAAGCGGTTCATTACATGAACAATATTTTTTTGCAGATCTGTTTTCGGGGGGATATAATATAAGGCTTCATTTAGTCTTACTTCCTGCTGTTTGATTCTTCATCAATATTATTGTGAAGTGTATTATTATTATTACTACATGCTGTCTTCGCAGTTCCACTTTGGGTGGTGAGGAGCAACCTTGTTAATTCTGTCCACCAATAAATTTCCTGCTGCCTGCTGTGTCCTGTCGCTTTCTTTTTTGTTTAAGAGGAAGGGAAATTTTGACTAGCCTTCCGTTTTGTCATCAGTGCATGACCCAGAGAGTTCAGACTGGGAGGCTGACGCCCAGGGGAGCCAGTTGGCTTAAAATAGGGAATAAGAACCTTGTGGTAATGTTTTAGTTTTAATCTTTCTTTCAGTTTGAAATTATCTTATTGTCATACTGTTGATGGTTTCACAGTTGCATCACTTCTACATTTGAGCTTCTTTTTTAAGCTTTATGTTAAACAACTTTAATAGTTAAGATATGAAAGGTTTTCACTTTGGTTTAAACCAAGAAAGTTTTAAATCTTTGTTTGGTTTACAAGGTTAGACTGTTGTATACTTAATGCAGCTTTATATGCAGTTATTTAGTCCTGATAAGCTCAATCATTTTCTGGCCACATATATTTGCATCCTTGCAACAGCACTGTAAAAAGTATATAAATGAAATCCCAAATTTGGGGACCTATACTCAGCGTGGGAAAGTTTCTGTTCCTGGTGCAACTGATACCACAGTTTTGCTGATGTTGACCAGTTCTGTCCCTTAGGTTTAAAGTCTGGGGACGGGTGGGAATGGATCTAGGGTGATTTTTCTTTTGTCCCTTGAACAATTTCTGAGTTGACTTGGTGGCATGTTTTTGTCAATCTAGTTAATGACTGGAAAAAGCCCAATCATGACCCAGTTTCATTTTCCATGCTACACGTGACATTTTGAAAACAGTCTATTCAAAATGTGTGCTTAAGAGTTCATGTTGATTGAAGTCTAACAAGGTTAGTGGCTTATGAAGCATTTCAGATCCTCCACCATATTTAAAAGCAGCCATATTTCTTTTCCAGGCCTAAATCATAGATTTATAATCTTAAAGGACAGTTCTAGTTGAGGTCCTAGTGATTTTTAGTATGTCATTTAACAGTATATATTTTTTTTTACAACCAATGTAGAATGTATTTAAAATAAAGCCTGGATGTGTTTACACATTTCATTGTGAGATTCCGCAAATGCCTAAATATGAATTCATTTTTGCTTTTAACAAAGATGTCTACAAATGAGATCAACACTTGCGTTATAAAGTTTAGATTGTTCCACTTTCATCTGATGGAGAAATGATTACACTTCTGTTTACTTGTGGCCTGAAATTAGTTTTGAATGTCTGTTCAGAGTTCTGCATTTTATTCTTTGTTTTAAACATGTCTGATCTTTCTCCTGCTGTCGCCTTGGGCTTTGGGAAATGCAGGGAGGGATTATCAGTGGAGGAAATTCTGGCCACAGGTGGATTAAACCTGTCCAGGAATAGTGATCTTGTGATGCAGATCTTGAACCGCAGGAGCTCTAAATCAGCAGCTTTGACTTTAATTAGACATAACTGGGGTTTACAAAAACAATAGAAAATGAAATGTACATACAAACCTTGGTATGTAATTTTTTATTTTTATTTATTTTTTTAGTAATCCAATGTATGATTGAATACACTTTGTGGTTAAAACAAACAAAAGAATGAGCCGTTATCCCTGGGGTCCATAGGCCATCCGAACTTTTCTCCGTGTGTGAGTATAGTGACCTATAAAACCAGCCAGCTTTGATGTGTCTGCCTTGTCCTGAGTAATGACGGTGGACAGACAGGATGGGTACAGGGGGCCAGAGCAGAGATTAGGCTGTGTTGTGTTAGGCATTCTAACTCCGGAGCCTGGTGTGCAACCATGAGGCTGGCTGCGTTTGCTGAGACACCCAGTTGAGTTGGCTTGATAAAGTGGAAGTAAATTGAAAGAGCAACCCAAAGCAGCGTGACTGAGCATGGACAAAAGGTGAGACGAGTGGTTACTATAGTACCACTGGACAGGGACGGATGGTTGGAGACAGAGAAAATGAGAGCTTTAGCAATTTATATTTCCAATGATTGAACACAACCTTTGGATAAATCCCAAGTATGAATTGAAATAAAAAAATGCAACATTTATCAGGGGTTGGTAAAACCTGCTAAAAAGGCACACTAATGCAACTTAAAAGGATTAGTGTAGCTGGGTGAAAGACTTGGCAGGATGGCCTCCTGTTAAGAGACAATGGCCCCAAGTTAATTTATTTGAGAATTGTGTGTAAGACTATTAAAGTCTTCTATGAAAACTTGGAGAAAAAAAAAAAAACAGCAAGTATACAGGATGAGTTTCAAGTCAGATCACATTACCACATCAGAGAGGGTGACACCCCAGCAGACTTTATGGACCAGCACCCACTGGTTGCCAGGTCTTGTTGGACATCCACCTCAGTTTTAATTCTTTTGCACATGCTTATTTGCTGTAAAACCCTAAAAACAACAACAAAAAAGTTTGGTTTTACAAAGAAACTGACCCATATAATTATGACAAATTTTGTTTTTCTCAGGAAGATTCATTAGAAGGAGCTTCATAAAACCAAAAAGTCTTCAAAGTTTGCAGAACTTCTTCACAACATGACTTGTTCTGTTTTGGGGACAACTCTTGAACATCTGATTAGTATGCAAAGAAGAATAATTAATAAAATATAGAAAATTAGAGGCAGCCTTAAGCATCCTCTTCATGAGACTGATATAAAAAAACAAACTCAGTCAGAGGCTTCTTCAGATTCACTGCAATATTACCAGCTGCTACAGGATATCCTTCCTGCCCACCATATCTACAACAACTCGCTGAAGACCGTATGAGTTACAACAAAATGCATTTTCCCTCTGGGATTAATAGGATATTTTTAAATGAACTGAATTGAATATGATATGATATGACCATATTAGGGTGGGATTCTGTGTGATATCAAATGTTAAGAATAACATCTGAGATCACAACCACAGTCAAGTCACCGAGAAAATCTACATATAAACATGAGATAAATGTTTAGTAATGCATTGCACTTTTATTCTGAAACTGTGGAACAAAGCACAGCTTGTGGCGAGAGGATGACGCATGTTTTCCATATTGATAGCGTATAAAAGCTGCTCTGGTTTCTGCTCCTCAGCAAATCACACGTTAAGCAAGTTCATTGTTGCCCTGCGTGGAGATCCTATAAAATACAAACTTTGCGTTCTTCTCCGTTCATGGAGCTCTTCTTTGTATTGAATGTTGTAGTATTTCTTGGTAATGAGATTAGTTTGTTATGCTCCATTCATGGTGAAAAAGCTCCGCCTTCGTCTTGCGTCAGTTTGTTTATGTCCCGCCCTCTTTTCACGACTAACTAAAACGCTCAACCAGGCGGGATGTTTCATCAGAAACCACAGACTTCGCTGCTTCTCTTCCGTCTCTATCTGTCCACTATTGCACTCCAGAAGACAGCAAAAGGTACAAATATAAAAATTTTTGTTTTCAAAACATATATAGATATTTAAAAATCCAAGCGGTGTTCAATGACGCGCTTTTTTCCATTCAGTAGTAACGTTTATTTATTTCGTAGTAAGACTGATGCAATCCTCCTCGTGTGTTGTATTAGCGCTAAAGGACATAACGTTCTTCACCTTTATTACCCGATTTGTGTGTGAGCGTTTGTAATTTGCCATACTTTACAGTCATAATGAGTTAATTCGCTGTAGTTAACATTAAGTAAATCGGCTTAATTTGTCATTTGAGCGCGGAATCAGCTGATGTATAGTCCCGGCGTGTAATGGAAAACCAATGAGAACAGAGCAGAAAAGGGAAACTTAATAGGGGGTTACCATTGTGGAAAAACTGTTTAAACAGTACTCTCGTTTTAAAGAATACACCGGACACCCATAGTTTTATCACTCAATGTTTTCATTCATTGTTTCGCTTTGCGCGGTTAAAACATCGTGAGGCTGATGTTTTGCTTATTATGAAGGCGCGTTGATGTCTGGAATGCTGCTTTCAAAGACCCCCACCAGCACCGAAAATTCCAACACGTGCATCGAAATGCCCTCAGATGAAATAAAAAAGTGTTGTTGGAACGGTTGCTTTTAATGTCCAGATTTTCTCATCAAAACGGGCAAATAAGATACCAGGAAACGTAGCTGTTAAACCGCTGCTTGGTGCTTTGCCGCGTTATATTTATGAACCTACAAGCCGACAATCACCGAGTGTCGTTTATACCTGAATGCAACAATATCAACACAAGGAGATGAGCAATTGGAAGCCACGTAGCTAGCTGATGCTTCACATGCTAACAGCTGTACATCACGCAATATGGTTGGCGCTGCTTGTAGGTAAATACATTTTAACTGCTATTTTATTTGAGGATTTCTCTTGTGCACAAACCACAAAATTCGTGAGTGTCATCAAAGCGAGCTGTCTTTCCTCGGTAGCCGCCGCCAAGCTGCCCGTCTTCCAGGGTGTTCCCATGTCTGTGTTGTATCAGCCGGCTGAAGCAACCATGTAGTAAAATGTAGTAAAGGCTTTGCTGTTTGTTCAAACCCGCTGAGCTTGAAGGTCAGGTGGTGTGAGGTGGAGTTGCAAAGGTGTGGACATACCGTAAAACTGCAAAGCCATGCTGCAACAAACTACTCAAGTACTGCGGCTATGTTGAAATGTCACGACTTTTTTATTGACCTATTTAAAGTTTAACAGTTTCTAGTAAAGATGAAAAAAAAACGAGAATTAATGGTGCTTTTACTATTTAATACATTTGATGTTTATGGTTTATTACTATGGTTTTATTACATATTCGTGTAATAACTTCTAGATATTATTAGTTTATCCAAAGTGTGGCAAATAAACAATAGATATTTGCCACACCTTGATCTACTATGATACAGTAGATTATTCAGGTATAACACCTCAGTTTCAGTGTGAACACAAAAATAAAAAATGTATTTAACATAATCTAATTATAACAACAAAATCAACAATTCAAACTCCACTATAAGTGTTCATTTTTGTGTTTTCACAAGTAAAATGGGAGATTTCATAAATCTTAAATTGTTTTTTAAATAATCAATTTAATGTAAAATCATCCATGATGATTTAATGAATTGATAGCTATCAATTGATAAGTAAGGTTGTTACTTATCACCTAAGTAATAACCTGGGTTATTGCTTGAGACTAATAACTAGAATAGTAAAATGGACAAAAGTAATGCATTTAACGTGGGAAAAATAGGTTATACAGCAGAACGAAAACAACTTTATTTTTTCTTAGCCGTGTGGCATCGCCCACCCACAGACCATGCTGTTCTGGGCAGAGAGCCATATTGCCCACATCAGAAAATATAAATGTTTGTAAACAGACATATGCATTTGTTAAAAGCAACAGGTAGGAGGTGAGGGCGGTTAGTTACTCTAAATAGCATAAGTTAACACTTCTCATTAAGAAGACTTTGACTTGAAGAAACCATGTGATATAAGTTTTATTTGGTTTTATAACGTTTTTAAGGCTGTGATCTGCATTCCTACTGGTGCAATGAGTACCGTGTTTTTTTCTGGTGAGTTGCGCCTCACGAGTTTAAGACCCTTAAAGTAAATCCGAAGCATTTCTCTGTTTCATCAGATTGTCTTGAGCTATCTTTTCATGCCGTGCTGCAGCTTAGCGGCCACACCTTGACATTCAAGATGTGGCCACTATGTGCCAAACGGCCAAACTGCTTTATCCTCTTTAGCTCTATGTGAGCTTAATGCTGCCGCTCCCAGGTCCTGTTAAAGCAAGTAAGAGCTGGTGTTGGTCATGGGAAAGCGAGCAGGTTGTCCGTTTGTCACATTCCATTTGACTGGGGAGAGCAGCTTTTGGCACGGGTTGCTGTGTCCTGCCAGGTGAACTGAGAGGTCGGTCAGTTCAGTCTCAGCAGTCGGTCTTTTCCACAGATACGTGAACAAAGGTCCTAGAACGGGCTTGTTGGGGGCTTTTGTGTAGATTTTCATTAATACAACATATATTTTTCACTCATTGGGGCTACACATAAATTCAGACAATATTGCAGAATTGCTAAAGAATACTGCAGCATCATTTTTGGAATAATAAAGAGGTTTTAATGTTATACATGTGGTCAGTGTTTACTCTTGCAGTGTAATCTACGTCTTGTTCCATCTGGTCCTCCAGATAACACAGGTTCCCATCAGATTGAGTGAAGTTACCATGGTTTCAGAGTATTTTATTTTATTTATTTATTTATTTTTGTTTCTCAAAAAATTAAAAACTAAATCTATAACATGATCCAACTGATATTGATCTACTTTATATTCCCACTATTGCTAAAACAAACAGTTTTCTCACAACCAAAAATATTTCCAAAAAGTAAAAAAAAATAAAATAAAATAATAATCATAATATAGAGGGATTTAGAAAAAAAGTCAGACCCGGAGTTTGTTTTTTTTCTCTTAGAACAAAGCAAGCTTGTTAAAAAGCTGAAATATTGTTGGCCTGAGTCATACTCTATGCATGGTGTTGTAGTAAATTGATCAATAGTCACACACCGGCACAGGCAAATGTTGATATACCTATGCAGCCTTTTGTATTAATTTTTTTCTTGTTTAAAGGGAGCTCAGTATGATGCAATATTCTGTGAAACAGATTTGTGACGCCACTTTCTTCCAGCCCGGTTCTGTAACCACCACAGCTGCAACTCTAGTGACTGCAGTCAAAACAAACCCATGTGTTGTTCAAGTTAGAACGTGGCTCAGAAACAACTTATAATGAGGTTAGCATGTTTGTTACCTTCCAAAATAATCCTCTTACCGTGCAGTACGTGGCAGCAGCTGCAGTGAAGCTCAAGCAACACAACCATTATCCCCGAAGCCTGTTATAACCGGAGCGCAGTTGGCCCGAAACGGTGGGTTAGCAGTCCCACTGGCATGAAGAGCCTTTGTTTAAGGGGCAAAGTATGACAAGAACCCTGCTGTTGTGAACAGAAACTCCCATGATCACACTGAATATTTACTTTTCTGTAAAATGTTGTCTTGGATGGTCTTTTTAAGAGTGTGTGTGTGTGTGTATGTGTGGACTTATGGAGTTTCCAACCCTCGTGAAAACCACAAGGAAAAGATTAGCGACGCGCTGATGTGAGCGAAGCTGCAGCGATGCCTTGTTTTAATGAGGCCATCATAAACCCTCCAGATCTGTGGCATTCTAAATAGGAAAAAGCACTCTCCTGGTTGCACTCAAATAGGCCTGTCACAATAACAAATTTTGCTGAGCGATTAATTGTCTAAAAAATTATTGCGATAAACGATAATATTGTTTCAAGACCAAGATAACGAGGGGAATCCCAAACAGCTGACACGGTGCAACCCGAAGTCCAGCGGACATTGGAGATGATATGTGGAAACAATATTAATATTTATTCAACATTTCGTGCAAAGAATATAGAAATGACAAGGGGAGAAGTTGAAGCCAAATTGTTAACGCAGTTGATAAACCCGGTAACTTTTCAGCTGTTCTCCGTTAACGTGACATTAATAGGTTACAATGATTTTCATTCAGTCAGGACTTTACGCTGACTCTAGCCACATGCATTGCAGGTAGATTCTAGTAAAGCATTGATTAATGCCTGGTTTTAAAATTAGTTAACTGGACTTGTAGCCATTATTTTGTGCCCATGTGGCTGGACACCACAAGACGAACCCGATCAAACTGTTATACCTAGGATTACTGTCGGCTAATGTGTCTCTCAGGTTTTGAAAATGGGCCGACAACTCTTTAAGTGTGCGCTGGGCATTACACTAAGGAAATAGGAAGGGAGGTCAGTGGAGAGCACCGGAGTTGAGCCTTTTTCATTCAGTGTCATCAACAGAAAGAAAAAACAGCAGGAAGAGACAAGCCGATAATTAAAATGAGGTCGATAGGTTTAATTTATCGTGCAATTAATTGATTTATCGTTTATCGTGACAGGCCTACACTCAAACAACTCTGTGAGGTTCTGGGTGAACCCCTGAGAGGGTCACATCCAGCCAGCCATGGCACTTTGTTAATAGGTGTTTATTAGCACAACGCAGACGCCCCTCAGATCTCAGTTCCTGGTGTGCGAGTGGAAAAATGCTGCTGGAATGTCACACCAAGCAGGAGGTTGGAGCATTTCCACCCAGCACCCGTTTCCCATCGTCTTCAGAGGGGCGAGTGTTTATTATGGCGGCGCTCCGGGCGCGCTGTTATTTGGATTTCATTGTTTCACCGTGTTTGTCTTTTATTTCTCCCAATCCTAAGCTGTACGAACCAAGGCATTCTTTTGATCCGGTAGAACGAGACATGCTTTGATTAATTGGTCGTGTTGCTTTTGTGGTATTAATAGAATATTATCTGTACTGAGGCACTGTGAGTTTATGTCCTGTTCACTGAAAGGGGCCAGAATTAGACTCTTGTCTTTTAAAAGCTTTTTGTTTTGCTTTGCACGACATGTGACATGTAGCCAAACTGGTCAGAGAACAGATCCTTCTTAAGGCAAAAAGTTCTTTTGTAGACGCTGTGACACTGAGACGGTCCAGTCCGTGGTGCCAGGGTAGAGTTTCACTTCTCCTCTTCGCTGGCTGAACAGTGAAGTGACCGACTGGCCCGATATGTCAAGGAATCAGGTGTCACAGCTTAAACGGCCTCAGACTGGACACAGCACTGCTTTTTATGCTTTCTGAGAGTCTCTGAAGGGCTTTAACAGAACTCAGACCTCTTAACTTTTTCCCATCCTGTGACTTTGCATTTTGCATTCAAGTTTTCATTTGTGACAGCTGAAAGAAGGAGTGAAATGCAAAATATTGTGCAAAGTACAATAGCCAGTTTGTTAGAGAACAATAAACTAATGTGTGTATTTTTTATCTTGTGATAAAACTCTCAATCAGTTAGAATGTGTGGTTATCTTTTAAATATTTGAAATATCACCTTTAGTTCTTCAGATTGCCACTCTAATCTCAAACGCGCTCGATTATCAGAACAAAGGTCTGTTTTGATAATGAGACTGTTGCATGAAGCTGTGATAAGTTACAGTTTTCTTGATTATTTAGCTTCTTCATAATGTCTGAATAATGTTGCACTTGCAGAAAAGATAAACTTTCTCTGTCCTTGATATTTCAAGCAGGAGTTCCATGTGTCAGCAAGAGGGTTGCTGTAAATTTGAGGGTGATTTTTGCACATTCATCACATTATTATCAAGGCACATGCATGCTTTTGTGTGATCTCAGACAGTAGAATAACACAATGCACTGAGCTTCCTGTCATTCACACGCTCAGTTTATAACGTGCAAATCTCTGTTCTGAATTTCCCCAAGTTTTTTAGTTAACTTTTATCTGCTAATCTGAGCAGGTTCTGCACAGGCAATGTTGTTTTAACCAAACCTGGATTGACTGACTGACTGACTGACTGACTGGTCGGAAAGTAAAACCCTAACCCTATATGTAACATCAGACTGGAAATGTTGTGGAACCAGTTTCTTTGTAATACCGTAAAAGTCAGTCAAATTTTCCTTCTCAAAAAGATGCCTCTTTGCACTTTAGTAACCCGCTTTTGCTTCCCCAGGTGGTTTACCTTTGGGATTTACGTCAGTCCTAAATTCATTTGTGTGTTTTTCCTCATTCATCTGATAGTTGGATCAGTTCTGAGAAAAAACAGTGAGTCTCCTCACTCGAGTTGACTCCTCTAAATGTCCTTGGACTGTTATGCGCTGACCACGTGTTTGCAGGAACTCGTCTAATTATTAACATTTATTATTTGTTGATCTGACGCAGCAGGTGTTTACGTCCTCAAAAGCTGGTTTTGGTTTAATTTAAACTTTTAATTTTTAAAGTCTGAAACTTCTAGGTTCAGTTTCATCAGTGTTTTCCCAGTGCAGCAGGTTCACCTTATCACATTACTGGCTCATGCTGCCTTCCCCACCTCTCTCTTGTTGATGTTAGTTTGATTAGAACCCATCGTCTCCTCGCAGCCTTTCCCAAGCTTTTAGAACAACACCGAACCAGCAGTAGTCTGCACTTTCTCGCTGCAAGGAAGTGGTGAGGGCTTATGCAAGGTGTTCCTTTGTTTGTACGAGGGTGTGTCACATGGCAGGTTTATTTGTTAAAGCAAAAAAAAAAAAAAAAAAGAAAAGAAATGAAGAATTAGGCCTGGCAGGATAGTACTCGATCTCCTTTTGTCTTCACGAGGTCACTGTGTGCCCCACCGAGGTCCCATGATCGTATACTGAACTGGAAAAAGGTGGAAAAATGTTTGAATTCCTGGAAGTTGTGCAACTTGGTTCTCATGTCAGAAGGTAGAATTTTTTTTAACCTTTTTACTGAAGAACTGCTGGCCGATAAGAGAGATGTTCATAACTAATTTGAAGAAAATACTGAATTTCAACTTCAGTATTAAATAAAAAAATGTATTTCCATTCATAAAATGTTTCATTTATATTAATTCAAAACAATTTAGTTACATATTGAGCTCAATGTGTTTTTGGAGACTGTCTCTCCCAGACACATTCTCATGTTTTCTCATTTTTCTGCACATCATAGCTCAGTCATCTTCGACTGACAGGTAACGTCTGGACGCAGAACCTGAATAGTTTTTTGGGCTGGGTTGGTTTTTCATGTAATATTTTTGGTCTAAACTGCTCTGATCGTCTTTGTTTTTTTTTTTTCCCAACAGCATGATGCTGCCACCACAGTGTTTCACAGTGGAAGTAGTGTGTTCAATGTTGGTTTTTCTTGTTTAAAATCTTTCGTTTCAGCACAGTCTTCTGCCTTGTTTCTACAAGCTTTTTAGGGATGTGAATATTTCTGCACAATACTGAGAGTTTATCTCATAGTGCAATAAAGCATTAAAGAACAGTTTTATTTAATAAATACCTGAATTATTAGACAAAAGACGCATGGAGATGTTTTATGTCGTATAAGGAAAATCTTTTCCAGAGTTCACACATTCTGTTATTGTTTTTTAGATTTTAAGTCTGCCCTGATTTTCTTTCGTAGAAACGGGAACAATGCTGTAATCTCTGATTAATTGCGAGCTCTGAGCTGTAAGAAGTGTAAGCTTTGGCAGGTACTGAATGAGAGCCCTGTTTAACTTTTTTCCTTGTTGTGTTTCCTCACAGGTCCTAATCTGCTACTTCGACAACACACCTGCCACTTCCTGCTTTGTGTGCTCCAGTAACTCCTGCCTAAGTAAACACACACATCAGAGGACCAATAGTATTCAAGTACTTGTTGTTTACCTCATTTGTCCCGAGCTTTCCTGCTGTCCTGATCCAAACCGGAGAACAGGTTTTTCTGTATAAGCGGTGCCCATCACATACACACATACACACACTCACCCACCTACGCTAGCATCATTTAAAAAGCATAGCCTTTTCCTGCACCCACGCGTAATCACAGCCATCATGGCCAGCATGCTGTCCAACTTTGGCAAAACCCTGCTGCGCCGCCGGGCGCTGGACTTCTCCAATGAAGAGACGCAGTTCGCCCGCTGCTTATCCACCCTGGACCTCATCGCCTTGGGGGTGGGCTCCACGCTGGGCGCTGGCGTCTACGTCCTCGCAGGCGAGGTCGCTAGAGAGAAGGCGGGACCGGCCATTGTCTTATGTTTCCTCATCGCCGCCCTGTCCTCCATGATGGCTGGCCTGTGCTACGCCGAGTTTGGCGCCCGTGTCCCCAAGACGGGCTCCGCGTACCTCTACAGCTACGTGACGGTGGGAGAAATGTGCGCCTTCATAACGGGGTGGAACCTCATCCTCTCTTATGTCATTGGTGAGTTCCAGTTTAGGTGGATAAAGTGTTGAACAAGCTGATTCCAGTGAATTCAAATGTCATCCAACATCTACTTTATTTTCCCAATTCAAAAAGTGAACTCATGGAGTAGGAAAGAATAGATTGGTTACACATTGGTCTGTCACAATAAATCAATTAATCGCATTATGAATTAAAACGAGACGAAGGATTTTCTTTTTTCATGCTTTGTTTTTCTCTTTCTACCAAAGTCTGGTGCTTTGGTCTCAACTAGCCTTTTTTTTAGGACAATTTTGTTTGTTGTTTCTGTTGTTTTATTTGTTTTGGATATTTAGAATGTCTTCCAGTTCCAGTGTTAAATGTTCATTAGAGCTTAAAGTTTGTTAATCTTTGAGAATGTGTTCTTGCATTTTCAAGAACGCATTGAGAAGTGAGTAGAATTGTATTACTTGAAAATTGTCGTAAAACAACAATATTATTGTTTACTGCAATAATTTCTAGAACAATTTATCGTCCAGCAAAATTTATCATGACAGGCCTAATTACAGACAGTAATGAATTTCTGTTTTTTATGTTTAATTTAGATGATTATGGCTTGTAAACTTATGAATTGTATAAAAACATTATAATATTACACTAGACCAATAAAAATAAGGTTTTGGCAGTTTTCTCTGTGTGCGTCCTTTTTTCTTCCACTCAATTTTTCAATAATATGCCTGGCTACAGCACTCGTGAGACGTTAAGTGGAAGGAAATGTGATAGCATATGATAACCATAGCCTTGATAGGATGTACATCTTGTGTAAATTAGACGTTTCCTGGAAAAATTAATTGTTTTAGTTTTTATTAAACAAGAAAGACAAATAATTTGATATGTTTCACTCTGTGTGTTGTGAATCTAAATAATCTTCACTTTTTCAATCAAACTAGTGAAATGAATGAAGTTTCCAGTGATCCTCAGATTTTTGATTTCTCTTCTGTTTTCTTTCAGGTACGGCCAGTGTGGCCAGGGCTTGGAGCTCGACCTTTGACAACCTGGTCGAACAAAAAATATCTGGCTTCTTTAAGGCATCCATGGAAATGAAAGTGCCTGGAAAAGTGCTAGCGGAGTATCCGGATCTCTTCGCCCTAATCCTGGTCCTGCTGCTAACCGGTGAGTTTGCTGAGAGCTTAAAAGTTTTAGTAGAAGGGGAAGGAGGAAAAAAAAACAACTCCTGTTTGTGCAGCTAAAGAGATCTTATTAGTCGGCCAGAACAGTTGTCACACCAATCTCTCAGCTAATGTCACATGCCAGCAGCAGTGTTAGGAAGAGCTAATCAGAGGATTGCTGTTGCCGAGTGATGGTTTGTCAGAACATATCTGCCCACGCAACAGGACGTGCAGTTACTGATCCTGAATATGAATTTCTTTCCCTCGCTTTCTGCGGCGTCTGCTCCCCTCAGGTCTCTTGGCCTTCGGCGTGAGCGAGTCGGCGCTGGTGAACAAAATCTTCACGGGAATCAATCTGGTGGTCCTGGGCTTCGTCATCATATCCGGCTTCGTCAAGGGAGACATTAAAAACTGGAACCTCGAGGAAGGCGACTTCCTTAGCTACAAGAACGGCACTAATGTCACCCAAAAGGAGTGAGTATTGGACTCTATTGCCATAAGTTCTGCTTGTGTTTGAGTTCTAAATGTTGCTTTTTCTGTTTTTCCCCAGCCTGACAGAAAAGTTTGGTGACGGTGGTTTTGCCCCGTTTGGCCTCGCTGGAATCTTGTCTGGCGCTGCCACCTGCTTCTACGCCTTTGTGGGCTTTGACTGTATTGCCACAACAAGTGAGTATGTTTTCTATTTCCAAAGTGCAAATAGAGTAACATGACTGCCTATATGACCTCGGACTCTAGCCTGGTAGGAAATGTCTGTCGTTCATATTCAGTAGGAAATGTGATCTTATTAACAGCGACAGCTGCACACACATGAATACTTTGATTCGGTTTAAAAAGTGAAGCTCAGCTGTTATATAAGTATTGAAGTCTGCGTTTCAGAGGGCTGCATCCAAGGAAATTGTTGGAAAGTTTAGTAGAAGGAAAAAGTCAAATCTGTCTACGTTTCAGCTGGTTTGCAGAGCAGGATGTGTAAAGAAGATTTTTTTCGTATGTGCATAGCTGGTAAAGGAATATCTCCAAACATTTGCAGCTGAAATGCATGCCACACTTTTCAGATTCATGGTGCATACTATTAGCGTTCCACAATACATACTGTTTTGCATGTTGGCTAAATCAGTTGAGATGATTTGGGGGTATCGGTGTAAAGAGGGGTACAGATGTACACGCACTCTTTAGAGTTTTGCAGATGTCTTATTTTTGTATTAGCTAATTATTATGCACTACTTTGTGTTTGTCAGTTACATAAAACACTATGTCAGGATGTTCTGGTTTGTAGTTGTGATGAAATGTGCTTAAGGTGTACTTTTGCAACTCAGTGCAAACTGGTTTTAATTCATTTATTCGGTTTTCAGTGAAATTTGACTTGCAGCTCATCCTTTTTCCATTGTTTTCTTCCTCCAGGCGAAGAAGCTAAGAACCCCATGCGGTCCATCCCCATCGGCATCGTGGCGTCGCTGCTCATCTGTTTTTTCGCCTACTTTGGCGTGTCAGCAGCCCTGACCATGATGATGCCGTATTACCAGCTGAACACTGACAGCCCTCTGCCCGAGGCCTTCAGCTACGTCGGCTGGGCGCCAGCCAGATACATCGTGGCCGTGGGTTCTCTCTGTGCGCTGTCCACCAGGTGAGGAAGGGAAGCCCTAACACCTGTGACTCGCTGTAAGCAGCTGTTAGAAGTCTCACTGTTGATCTCCTCTCAGCTTACTGGGCTCCATGTTCCCCATGCCTCGGGTTATTTACGCCATGGCCGAAGACGGGCTGCTGTTCCGGGGTCTGTCCAAGATGAACTCTCGCACAAAGACCCCCATCCTGGCTACCATTGTTTCTGGAATCGTTGCAGGTAACGTATCTGTGGGTAGGATTCAGCTGTGTGTCGTTCTGCCATCGCAGTGAGTCAGCAGGGTTTTTAATTAGACTTCCAGCTCTTCTCTGTCTTGTCTGTCAGGATGTCAGGTCAGGATCGATAAAGTTTCCTGAAGGCAACAGGAAAAAACGCTGCAGTTCTGATGGGTTTTGAAGTGGCTGTCAATGTTTGCGTCCACAGAATGAGTTTCTCTGAAATCTGGTTTCCTCCTTGCAGCTCTGATGGCATTCCTGTTCGATCTGGCGGCCCTGGTTGACCTCATGTCCATAGGAACGCTGCTGGCGTACTCATTAGTGGCTATTTGTGTCTTAATTCTCAGGTAAGCACTTTTATCATCAACAACTTTATTAAAGACACAAATAGGTTCATATATTAAAAGTTTAATTCAAATAAATAGTTTTAGGATGATGGCAGTCATAGACATGAATCACAGATTTACAAAAAGACTAAACCTGACAGAACTTTGTGTGATGTCTGTTAGCATCAAGATGATAGATAGAAATTTGTAATCTCCGCATAACTCTGTACATTTAAGTGAAGATTACAACACATAAAGAATAAAAAGTAGAGACACTAATAGACTTGCACTAGTCCATCTCAGCGTCCAACTAAACACATGAAAATTGTAGAATTATTCCTATTATGCAAATCTAAAATCTTTTTCAAAGTGAATTTACACACATCTGTGCCATGGTTTGATTTAAAACCAAGCAGGTTATCTGAAGTAAGGAGAACATGTTCTATCTTACTTGGTCTAAAGGTGCAGGACCTTGGATAGCACACAGGCTGATAATTTTCCTTATTTATTTTGACAGCTTTATCTTTAATAATAGACACTAATACAACAGATAACAATGAGTCATGGACTAAAAACCCAATAAAACACAAAGCAAGCAAAGGGAGAGTTTTCTGATAGAAATTTGTAATTGTTCTACAGACAGGCTCATGACTGCATTATAAATGTATTGCTTGAAAAATGGTCTCCAAACAACATTATTGTGTATTGCAGTAACTTCTTTGAAAATTTATTGCCCAGCAAAATTTGCTACCATGACAGGATTGTGTGTAACTTGGTGAAAGGTGTGATGTTTGCAACAGAAGACATTTTTCCTTCTTGATCCAGTTTAAAACAGCCTCTCTGCCCCGACTCACCAGGTATCAGCCAGGCAATCTGAATTCGTCCAGTCAGACGGAGAAGCTGGTGGAGCTGGTGGAAGGCGAGAAGGTGGCTGTGAGCGGCGGGGACAGCGGGGACGAGTACGGCATGGAGATGGAAGACAGACCCCTCCATGAGACATTCACTGCCAAGCTGCTCTTCTGTCCAAGTGGAAAAATCCCGACTAAGACCTCTGGGATGATAGTCTACGTTACCACAGCTGTTATTTGTAAGTCTGCTACCAAGTGCTCAGACTACTTGTTAGAGTCAATGCCCAGAAGTATCTGAGTTTGTTTTCTTTCTCCTGTTTTCACAGGTGTTCTCATCACCATTCTGTGCATCATCCTGGCAAACTGTTTGAACCAGCTGCTCGTCGGACATGCAGCCGTTGTGGTGCCCTGCATCATCTTGGCTCTGCTCTGTGTCGTCTGCATTATCATCATCTGGAGGCAGCCACAGAGCCCAGAGGCTCTGACCTTCAAGGTCAGATATCTGCTTTTTTGTGTGTTTTGACACTTGTAGTGTCGCACTGAGCAGTTCCTAAATGTAATCTCTGTTTTCTCAAGGTCCCGCTGCTTCCATGGCTGCCCCTGTTCAGCGTTTTTGTCAACATCTACCTCATGATGCAGCTGGACATTAGTACATGGTGCCGCTTCTCGGTCTGGATGGTTGTCGGTGCGTTTGAACGTTTCCAAACCTGTGATCCTTTCTGCTCCGTCAAACTGGGGCAGCTTGCTCATGTTACTCTTTTTATCTGCCCTTTTTCCTCCAGGCTTTGCCATCTACTTCTTATACGGTATTAAAAACAGCAGTGAAGCTAAAAACAAGTCGCCCTCAGGCAAGTACGAGCCGGCGCTGCAGAACAAAAGCCCGATTTACAAGGGCGGTCCTGATGAGAGCGACGTGGAGGCCGGCAGCAGCCCCTGATACGGACTGACCCAGACCCGAGGCTCGTTTCCGGGCACCTGCACCCATTCCTGATCATTTACAGTGCAGGCCGGTGGAACTGCAGGCATGGGCCGGTATGATATTATGACGGTATGGTGACCTTAGGTTTCGCGGAGTCACGGTATTATGGCCACAGCTCTAAAATGTGTTATGTTGCATTTTCTTTACGATGCTTTGACCTGAACGCATACGCAATTTGCTTCTTAAATGTTTGCTGAATTGTGGGCTGATCTTCACCCTTTGACATAACCTGTTGCTGCCAGAGGCTCTGCTTTTTCTAAAAAAAAAAAAACAATTAGGACAGATGTGAATTTAACTGCAATTTCAAATTAGTCTATCATCGTAATCTCTGTAATGATAGTCGACTTTGTCTTTGGAAGCTGCGTAAACTTGCAGAGCTAGTAACTATGCAGCAGCAGCCGACTGGTGGGATTTGACCTCCACCTGTTCGCTTACCAGACATTACAAAACTAAATGCTTATACTGCAGGCACAGTATGACGCTAAATTTTCATGGTTTTAAAACTGTGACTTTTTCATATCACGGTATACGTTGAAACCGGCAACCGGCCCATGCCTGCTCAGAACGCTGCTCCGGGTTTAAAGGGAGGGAAGAGGCAAGAAAAACACAACACGTCTTACCTCTGACTTGGAGGCTGATCAACTACTTGACAACTAGATGCTGTGACGAAACCGATTTCCAGCTCGTCTGAGTTTTAGCCCGGTTTTATTTAGCCTTAGCATTTACCTGCCTGAATCACATGTTTTCAGTGGATCTGACCAACAAGGGGGGTCAGATCGTGTTTTATTCCGTTACATGAAGTTGCAAACCAGAAAAATGTTACTTTTTGTTTTTTGTTTTGTGTTATTAATGTCCTGAGGTGGACCCATTAAGCCACTAGTTAGTCCCAGTGTAAATCCCAGTCGACGACCGTTTGAGCCATTAAGTTCGCCATCATAAGATCACTCAGTGAGTCCAGCAACAAAGTGGCAGAGGACAGTCATCCGTCTCTTATGAATGTGGTGCAGTAGAGGAAGTTACTTGTGTGTTTACACGTCGTGTGTGAGAGGCTATGAGGTTTACAGTGTCAGTTTTTACTGGTAGGTCAGTAGCATCTGGTCAGTGCTGATGTTTATGTTCAATATTGTGCAGCTGAAGTCCTAACTGGGAACGCTATAACCCCACTGCATCCTAAAACTCCCTGAAAACTGCTGCAGACTACATGTAGACTACAATGTTTATGTGGTATAAGTAGGCATGAGCTGAGTACAAATGCCTTGGTTTCTTGGTATCAACTCCAAAATTTAAATCAAGAATGTAAAACATGAATTTATGAATATTACTTGAAATAATGTTATCTATAGCATTATTACTTTCTTATGTTGGTATAAAAAAAGAAGTAAAGCTATAGAACAAACCGCTACTAAATTTAACAGTATATTTCGATTTAGGATTTATTATCACAATATTTTGTTTCATACTTTTTATTGCAATAAAAAGTATTTATTTAGAGATCTCTGTAAACAAAATTGTCCTTCAGAAAAAAAGGACTAGTTGAATCCAAAACACCAGTCATCCAGTTTTTCATAGAGAGAAGTGATGAAACATTGAGCTTGTTTTAATTTATCATACAATTAATTGATTTATTGCGACAGGCCTGTTTCCAAATTCCTCAGTCTCACTGTCTACAGTCACAAACTGCTCTAAAAACATAACAATCTAATATATATAGAAGAAATTTTTAAAAATTCTCATTTCATTTTTTTCATCTGGTGCTTGTGTGCCCACCCCCCTTTTTCTAATGCCGCCCTGGGCAACCGCCCATACGATCATATCTAAAGTAGAAGGAGCATAACAGAAAATGTTTGCACTTTTCAAACCGCAAATTTTTAAAACCTTTATATCTACAGCCAGCCCATCCCTAAATATGACATAATTTAACAGTTTTGTTATTTATTTCATCACAGTATTAACATGTTACCATTCGATTTTGTGGCCTTTGATTTCAACTTCAGTGACTCTAAAATGTACATAAAACACATAAATCTGTGTGGTTGAACTTTCACGTCATCCTGCTGTTCGGATTTCAAAATTATTCAATGGATTTACCGATTTAAGATTTTGCTAACATACCAGTTTATCTGCCTTTTGTATTGTTTTTTGTTCACACCTGTGCAGACCGGACGAGGTTGGTGGGATTTTGGGTGTTGGGCATTTTCGGCAGAAATGTAATGAACTGTAATGTACGTCCAAAATAAGCCAGGGTTCATGTCAAGTTTTACCACTAAAATGTAATCTTTCTTTTTTTACTTTGTAAAAAAACACCTGTTCCCCACTAAGGCTCTTGATTAGTTTCAGCTATATAACTTGAACTTTTAAACCTTTATCAGATGAATTACCATCACTTGTATTTTAGTTTTATAATCTTATTTACTTCTAATTTTGTTAGAAAATGTTAATATTTATGTGTTCATTGATTGTTTGGGAAAGCATTACTGTTTTTCTGCCTTTATGTATTCATTTTAACTTGCTTTGTAGATGTACAGCTTTTAATGTTGATCTTTTGTCACATTATATATTTCGTTTCTGATATTTTCCGACCAAACTGAATATTTTTTTTACTCCGCTTTCCAAAAACTACCAACCACAATGAGCTGGTATTTAAATTATTCTAACTATTTTTGCCCCAAGCCTTTTTCAGTCTGATTGATAACTTATTTCTAAAAGGTTTTTTTTGTGTGTGTGTGTTGTTGTCATAGTACAAGTGCTTTACTGTAGAGTGTACAGTATTTGTTTAAATATCTTTGTATATTGCTGTAAATTATGCAAATATACTTTCTTTGACATAAGAAATTACATGTAAACCTGATGAGACGGTTTTTGTAGATTACACTTGAAGGAACTGATGCTGCTGAAGCCCAAATTATGAAACTATTTGACACAAAATGCTCCCATGGAAGCTGGATTATACTTTGAAACATATCTTGAAAGCGTTTATCGGTAAAAGGTAGATTTAATTGTCTTTTTTTACAGATGGCGCATAAGAACCATTTGTGAAGTCGAATGTGAAATTTGCTCTTCAACTTTTTGATCTGAACTTTATGTTCTCCACGCTTACTCGCCACCAAAATGTTGTGTTGTGATGGCGTGTTGACTCACTCAGCTTGTCACAACCCGCCCTTGTGCCTTTTGGAAAAATCAATCCAATCATTCCTCCGTAGTGCTGGCATCATTTAGAGCAACAATTGACTTCCGTTTTGTATTCTGTACATATGCTTCATTGTGTAAAATGAGCTGCGTTTTAATTTACTCTTTTTTTTTTAATAAAAGTGATTTATCCTCTTGGATCCTCTCTCTCTCTCTCTCTGCCTGTTCGTTTTCTCAGCAAACGAGTTGAATGCCAGACGCTCCAGTGTTTTTTACAATGACTCACTGATTACTCACATCACATTTAGCACACATTCTGTTAGCTCAGCCGCCCTACCTTTTGGGTGGAGAGTTTAGGTTCTGGGGGAACAAAAAGAAAGAAAAAAGCAGAACTAACATGTTCACTTCCTGATTACATTCTGTCTTTCTGTAAAGGCTTTACAGTAGGGTAGTTTCCCCTGCTAAAACATTTTTCAACAATTATTGTTCATTTTAGAGCAAATTCTGAGGTTTAGAAGATATTGCTAAGAAGTTAAAAAGTATTATTTTGGGTACTTAACTTTATATAACCTAATAAACCCTTTTTTTTCAACAAATAGAAAATGTATGCTTTTACTGCTCTTTACAATTCTATTACTTCCTGTTTTGCTCAGCCTCTGAGGCAAATTAGTTATCTTTAAATATGCTAATGGATTTGCCCCTTTAAAGTTATTCTGTTTAAAAAATTTTACACTTAATATATTTAACAGAATAAAACAAATTCTAATATCAAACAAATAAAACCTGAGTAAGTATAAAGTTGTTTTACAACCACACCCCACATTCCCTGGCCTGATGGCGTCCGGACTTGTTCGTCCTTAAATCACTTAAATGGAACCAGTCTGACAACATTAAAGTAGATTAAATGATCTGCATCCACAGAAATTCAAGAACATAAGAAAGAAAATTACTGACAGAGGCTTTGACTGAATTTATTAGTTTAAAAGTTGATGTTATCTGGTACTTTTTCTTGCTTACCTTTGTATTTTGTGAGGAAGTGATCTCAGTTTTTTTACTTCTTCATTTAGTGAGGCTGCCCTCTAATGGTCAAACATGGTAACTCACTGCTCTGGCTTTAATTGAATTCTTAAACTTTGTTTTATATTTACTTTCTAAAGTTTCAGTGGGTTTCCACTTATTCCGTCCAAAGTCACTGAGAAGAGGTTCTACCTCCATTCAGATGGAGTAAATGGACTCATCCATTGTTTATTTATCATGTTTGATCTTATTGGCATTTTATTAAGAAGTTTTAGATACAGACCAATTGAATAACCAATTCATATTGAATCAAAAATAAAAAGCACTTTCTCTCTTAGAAACTTTGATTCAAAATGAAGGGATGAATTCACTGTAAATTCAGGTAAATGTGAGCTAATCAATAGATTGTTGCCTTTACTGTATGAAGAAACTGCACCCTGAAGGGGTGATGTTTACTTTAGTAACATTTATGAACAAAGATTTGTTTTTATAAAGGTGTGGAGCCCCTGCATAAAGAGTGCTAGATGGGATGACAAAATGAAAATAAAGTGAAAAAAGTCAAGGAAATGGCTAAAAAATTGAATTATAAAAACTATATATTATTGTTTTTACATTTGGTTTTAAATTGATGAATATCCTTTGTATTTAAGCAACATTTCTTATTACTATTCATATTAGTTACTTTTAGTAACTTTTTCACTGTCAGCTACTGGTGATCTACTATTTTAATTGGCTTTTTAACATCGTATTTTCAAAATTATTTTTCACAAATATACAAATTAAGGCCAAAGAAGAAAGCTGGGAGCAACATGTGTAACTATGGTGAAAGGATAATCTCTTAAATGATGTTGAAAAATTTAGAAAAGGAATAAAAAATGTTTGAAATGCTAATTTGAAATAGTGGTGTGATCAGTGTTAGTTTTAACAATGTTAATGCAACTTTTTGGAAAGTTTTAGTGAATGCTCTCCAAATGTCCCCAAAACATTTTCTAAAACCTCTAAAGACTCACAGATAATAACAGGAAACATTTACAGTGTAAAGTTAGTGACCCTTAAG